TTTGAGGGTAAAAATAATCCCATCAAAAACATAGAATGTAAAAGAAACAAGACTCGCAACACAATTCCTCCGCTATAAAAAGTTGTGAGATCTCATGTAAAACCAAGTCAGTTTATTTTATTTAGTCTCTCTTTAAACACCTATTCAACAATTTTGTTATAAATTGTTAGTATCAATATTAGTCATGTTTATTTCTATAATAATGATAATGATTTGGCAATTGCATGCACGGCACCATAATTATAAAAAAGAATAATCTACTATTTCGATTACTAAGTAAATCTAAACGGCGCACTTAAGAATAAAGTTTTTTAATTACTATAGAATATCATATCGTGCAATTGTCAAGTCATTAATATAAGAGATATGAGAGTAGTTTCCAAAAATGTAATAATATACCTCCATTTAAAATAACAAAGATGCTACCGCTTTTCAAATGATCCGGCAACACTATAACGCTGATAATATTTTAGATAGATGGAGCAGGTGCCTTTATATAAAAATCTAAATTTTTAAAACAATCCTGTCACCGGTCCTCCTATTACCATCACCGGAAAGTCGGTTACCACTAGCGATTAGACAGCTAACTTTTGAGCCATATGGATATCATTTTCCCCTTCCATTATAAGCTTAAATTCTATGACCAACTTAAGTAAATAATGAAAAATACAAAAAGACACGACCTTAATATTTTGATGGGAGATTTTAATACGAAAGTTGGAGAAGAAATATCACCAGGTGTAACCGGAGAATTTGGGCTCGGAGAAAGGAATGAAAGGGGTAACAGACTAATAGAGTTCTGCCAAGAGGAAAACATAGATATCACCAACATCTTGTTCAAACAGCCTAAAAGACGCCTCTATACTTGGACATCGCCTCGCGACGGTCATGGATTTACAATAAGAAACCAGATCGATTATATTATCATAAATAGTAGATTTCGAAAATCGTGTAAATGTACAAACACCTACCCAAGTGCTGACGCAGCCACTGACCATAATCTACTTGCTTCAAAAATACACCTGAAACTAAAACGAATAAAAAAGCCACTCATCAGAAAATCAATTAATGTCCAACAGCTAAAATGCGTTGAAACTAAAAACAAATTCGCACAAACCATGAATTACAACGTACGAGAGAACATCTAACGTTTTAACCATAGAAGAACGATGGGACAACACAAAGAATGGCATCACTAATACAGCAACACAAACTCTAATTCACAGAAACAACAAAAAACAACAATGGATGACAGATGAAATAATTGAGCTAATGAAAGAGAAAAGAAAATTCAAAAACAAAAGTGAAACAGAATATAAAAGAATTAACCGACTGATAAAACGAGAAATCAGGGAAGCTAACGAACTTTGGATGAAAACAAAGTGCAACGAGATTGAAGAGCTGCAACAAAAGCATGACGAGTTCAACCTACACCGAAAATTGAAAGAAGTCACTGGATTGTACAAGCAAAATAGCTTGCCTCTTTTTTGACAACTTTTAATCCTTGATTTCTCTCAATGAGTTGCGTTATTTTGTTGGTATTGTGGGTTCTGATGTCTTTCCTTATCTCTTTTGATATCTTCCTGTTAAGTTTCCTATAATCATCTAAGTGTTTGTTTATCATAACTCTACGTTGCTTTATCAGATCTTTAGTGTTTTGGGTTAATTTTGTGTTTCCCTGATTATCCTTTTTAGGACAATCTTCTTTAATAGCTTGCGTTAAAATAGTTACAGTGTGATTATTTATATCTTCAATTTCCATATTTTCCATTCTTTCCAGATTTCCTAAATTTTCAGCTGCCACTGCTCTATATTCTTCTGGTTTTTCTGGTGTTACCCATTTTCTCATGGTCCTCTTCCTTATCATTTTTCGTCGTTCAGATTTAAGGTTGAATTCAATTCTAGTTCGAACTATTCGATGGTCACTTCCTATGGAGAATTCGCCCAATACTTGTACATCTCTAATTATCCATTTTTTATCAGTCATGATGAAATCTATCTCGTTCTTGGTAATTCCGTCCGGACTTGCCCAGGTCCATTTTCGATTTGGATGTTTCTTAAAGAAGGTGTTCATTACATATAGTCGATTTTACAGCGTGAATTCGATCATTTTCGCTCCTCTCTCATTTCTTTCACCATAACCATATGTTCCCACGCATATTTCTGCTTCATCTTCTTTTTGTCCAGCTTTAGCATTAAAATCACCCATTAATATTGTAAATTGGGATTTGATTGATAGAGCTTTGGAGACGTCCTCATAAAAAATATCTATTTCTTCCTCGGTGCTATTTGACGTTGGGGCATAGACTTGTACAATTTTTAGAGAGTAACGGTTATTCAAACGAAGGGTTAGGTATATGACTCTAGGACTGATGCTTCCAATGTCTACGATGTTCTTAATATGTCTCTTGTTAATCAGAAAGCCTACACCGCCCAGAGCATATTCGTTATTTCACTGATGATAAAGAAGGTTCCCAGATTTCAATTCTATTTGTTTTTCGGTCTTTCTTCTTACCTCACCTAGACCCACAACATCCCATTTTATATGTTGTAATTCTTCCTCCAATTCCAATAATTTCTCATCCCTTGACAGGGTTTGAACGTTAAAAGTGGCAATATGCAGTTTTCGTCTATTAAGGCAGCCTGGTCCACTCCGGGGATTCTTAGCACCCTCTGCTCTTTTCCTTACTCGGCCGCTACCATAGTCGAGGGAGTTTGAGCTGCCGGAGACTGAGGGCCGTATCTTGGAAGACGTTTCCATAGTTAAGGGGGAATTGGCTATACTCTACCACGCTAGCCCTGCGGGTTGGTAGAGGGTAGGGGGATAGGGTAGGATAATTGGTTGGAATAGGGTAGGGTAAAGGGTTTGGAACATGATTCCCCCTAAAGTAAAGGAGGTAGAGGAAATCATGGCTTGCGTGGGCAGGGGCGCATTCCTGAAGTAAACCTATCCTCCACCGGGATCGTGAAGAAGTGCCTACCCGCTACCCACTTGTTGGAGAGAGTGGCGAAGTTTAAATATCTAGGCTGTTGGATTAACCAACATATCGATCCTTCATGCGAAATCAGATGTCGTATAGAACAAGCAAGAAATACATTTCAGAAGTTTAAGTCGCTGCTCTCAAATAGTTCACTAAACATCAAAATACGGGAGAAGTTTACAAAATGTTATGTGTGGTCGATTCTTTTGTATGGATATGAGACGTGGACGCTTAATAAAGAAACAATAAATAAAATCGAAGCATTTGAAATGTGGATATACAGAAGAATTCTTAGAATATCTTGGACCACCAGAACCAGAAATGAAGAAGTTCTTCGAAGAATGGAGCACGACAGACAACTTCTGAATATTATCAAGCGACGAAAACTACCTTGGCTTTCTCCGACTGATTCTTAACGGAAAAATAGAAGAAAAGAAGTAGATTGGGCGCAAGAGGCTTTTGTGGTTGAGGAACTTGCGGCAATAGACAGGCTTCACTGCAGATGAATTACCCCATGTGGCGCAAGATCGAGAACGATACAGAGATGTTGTTAGCATGGCAGTCGTCAACGTTCACTAGGAACATGACACTTGAAGAAGAAGAAGATAAGCTTAAAGCTACCTAAAATTCAAAATTTGAAGTTTGTGACACATCTAGAAGTGCTTTAGAATTTTAATGACGGCGTGTGAGTCATTGATGGCGAAGTTAAAGAAGTTTGATTAGAAAAAATTCATAATCCTAGAATTAGTAGGGGTAGAAGACCGATTCACCATCAGGAGCAGGAGCAGAGCGCACTGCGCATGCGCGTAAATCAGCTAAGAACATGTAAAATACGCTAATAAACAAGAATAAACAGGTTTGGTTTGGTTTGAACAGCTTTTGATCAGCTTTGAACCGCTTTTTAGCTTAAAACAACAGACCTGTTCATTTTTTGTTCATACCTGTCTATTTCTGTTTTAAAGCTGTTCAAACCAAACCAAACCTGTTTATTCTTGTTTATTAGCGTATTTTACATGTTCTTAGCTGATTTACGCGCATGCGCAGTGCGCTCTGCTCCTGCTCCTGATGGTGAATCGGTCTTCTACCCCTACTAGAATTATTGTTTAAGATATGTATTTAATATTTTATAATCAGAATATTAACGAAAATAAAATTAACAAAATTATGCCCCGAGGCAGGCATATTAGGGACTTCATTTAATGAAGTCCCTAATAAATAGGTACTTCATTACACAAGTTAAAGTCTGAATAGAAAACATTCATAATCCTTGAAAATATTCATAATCATTGTGCATTGTTGGTACATTGATATATAAATAAAATCAGAAGAGACCGCTCCGATTAATTCTAGTTTTCTACCTTTTTCTCGACTGGAAAGCCAGTTACCGGTACCGGCTAAACAGCTGACTTTTAATCCGTAAGGATATTTCGGGATTTTTCCTTTTTTCCTTTGGTTCTAAGCTTAAAGCTACCTAAAATTCTAAATTTGGAGTTTATGACACATCTAGAAATACCTTAGAATTTTGATGATGTGTCAGTGAGTCAATGTCGAAATTAAAGAAATTTGACAAGCGATAATTCATAAACTATGAGGGATAATTACTAGATATTTTGGTAACCTAGCCAGCTATAGTATGTCTTCAAGTGTAGTGAAAATTAATATTCTTGCTTTATCCACAACGAAGTTACAGGATGGTCAAAAGTGCCGCTAATATCTTACGAGTCGAGCACAGCCGCTTATCACGGCTGTGCTCGACTTAAGATAAATCGAAAGAAATGAAGATTCTTATGTAGTTAGTAGCTACGTATTCTCGTGTAGCTACGAAACTAAGCAAAATCGGCCATATGTTGATATAAAAAATAAACCTTATTTTCCTTAGGGAATCTCCGCATGAGAGATGGCACATGTTTTTTGAAACACCCTATATAACCTAACTTACTTAATTCGATGTCCGTGTTGCTCTTACATTTATGACTTATTTTCTTTTATATTTTATTACATACGGTCCTTTCTTAACAGGTGGGTGACGACGATTCGGCATCCGGTGTTCGAGGACGACATCGCCGTCGAATTTCTGGAAGATATGGCCACGGGCCTGGAAAACGACATCATGCAGTTCGACGCGCTGCAGGAAGAAGCCAGTCTAATGCACCACGTCATGTCGCAGCTAAGGAGGTAAGCAGGAGGGAGGGGGCTTCGCTTTAAAAGGGTTTCGGAGGCGGTGGGTGGCAAATGGAGATTTGGTTATCATTTCGGTCGAAGTAACACTAACACTTTGAAATAAAAAATTAGAAATTGCAGCATAGGGTGACCTAGTGTTCGGAATAAGTTCTATATGAGGTTTTTCCATATCACAATAGTTTTTGTAAAATATGCCGGTAACGTTATGAAACTTTTTAAATATTCACACAGCAGTCAACTACACAGCTATTGTCCTGTGTACAGGCTGTTTCTATTGTGCCGTGCAACATAAACACGGCTTCTATAATCAACTCGGCAGCATTTGATAAGATATTGAGAAAAGGTGATAGTTCAAGAAATTAACAATGAATGGGGTTTAATAAATACGGATAGATTTATAGGAAAATTAAATGTGATTTAAGCGATGACATATATGACATATGTATTTTTGACAAAAATATATAATGTTAAATCAAAAAGAGTATATATTTTTAATAAAATACGTTGTTTGATTTAAACCGTGTATCTCTGTCATATTTAAATGATTTGTGTGGTTTATTGTTATACAAACAAAATAAGGGAACTTCATGATTCCAGAGACGAGTGACAGGAATTTATTAGCGAAACAAGAATTAGGAAAAATTTTCAACACTTCTATCAAATTTCAACTCAGTTAAAGCATGATATAAAAATTGGTCAAGTGCGAGTTGGACTCGAGCACGAAGGGTTCCGTACCATTCATTATCTATACAACATTAGACACTATATTATTATAAACTTTTTTTTCGATTTAACTGAAATTTTGAATGCGCGTATAAGTAATTAAAAAAAATGAAGAAACACATTACTAAAAATTGTATTAATCAATAATAAATATGTAAAAAGTAAAAATAAATATGTAAAAATATGTAAAAATTAAAAAAAAAACGATTAAAAAAAGTCGCCTTGACTAGGATTCATAGGATTCAACGTCATAGCAGCGTATAGTGTGACCAACGGATCTGTAGCTACGGGGTATCGGTAGGGGAACGCAGTTGTAAACAAAACACGCCCAATTTCATTCATAAAATAGGCATGGGCGTACGGTGTTATATGAAAATAATGTGTATCATAAATATAATACTCAGATTAATATTTTTTTTTCAAAAAACTTTATGCTGTTTGAATCGTTACTGTTGAGTTAGCAGATAAACACTAAAAGCTTTTATTAAAGCTCCCTTAAATATTTTGAATCATTTTATTATTGTGTTGTTAATATAATAGAAGAAATAATTACATCTGGGGGTTGGAACCTTTGGTGTTATACTACTAAAACACTAAATCAGTACAATACACCAAAACACTTTTAATTTTACACTGGACGCACGTTTCGCTAACAATGTCTGCCATCAGCAGGTGATCAAGACTGAGTCTTGAGGTATATTTATTTATATATCTGTACTAACTATATTTTTTTCTATAATACATAATTTTAGATATAAATATTTCATTCATTCTATTAAGCAAAAAAAAAGTATTCTATTAAGCAAAAAAAAATCTTGAAAATAGTTAACTTTGGAAGCGCAAACAAAACATAATTTTACTCACCAGTAGATCCAATATTGCCTATTACACCAAATATGGTATCGCTCCGCCAGCAGTTTTTAAAGGTTAGGTCATTGTCTACCCATATGTTTCATCCAAATAGATAATACTTGGCTATATTTTCGAATTTCGCGTATATATTTATATCTCTCTCTCTGCAATATAATGGGCCGCTCCATTAATATTTATCTGTTATTTTGACATTTACGCCAAAAAAATTCATTTGATTTTAATAACCCCCTAAGCGTTTCCCTGCAAAAGGAAAATTCGATTCTTCCTGCAATTTTTGCAAAAGTTTTCTAATTGCGGGGACGAGTTTGAATTCGAGATAAAATCTATTTATCAAATTTCTGACCACTTCGAAAAAGTTGTCGAGCTTTTCGACAGCAGTCTCACGTGGTCGTTTCTTTCCAGAGCTGGATATCATTTTATCGGGGTTAGTTTTCAGCCTTTTTCTGTCTTCTGTGTGAATTTTTTTATAGCCGATACGCTAACTCCGGTATAAAGAAATATCCGCTCAAGTTTACGTTTAAGCGGCAACTTAAGCGAACTCTCTGTAGCTTCTTCATCGCAAACCCTATTACGAACACAAGGAAATAAACCAAATGAGATTTCATCCACGTTATTAACTTACCTATATAAATTAGCTATTATTTCTTTTGTCTGTCTATGTAGCGTCTTACCCTTAACAAATTTATTCATTTTAAAACACAAATATACGATCAAACTTGATATTAATAGTTAAAAACTACGAACGAAAAACATTATAACAAGATAACAAAACAATAAAACACAACTTAACTATCAAATATACGAAAAATATAGGAATAAAGTTTAGGATAACCGGTATAAAATAATGAAATAAAGTAATAATGATCAAAAAAATGACACCGCCACTGGATATTTCAATAGTATTCAATATTCCTACTCTTTTCAGAAGAGACCGTGAAGTTGGGGGTAAAGCAAGCGAATAGGAAAGGCGTAAAAGCCATGGCAACCGCGTGGTAACAAATCCTGTGACGTACTCGCCAATCATGTTCGATGAATAGGCGGCCATGCGCGGCGATGCCGGTTTGCCAATGATATCGTTGAGAAATCTTCAACTTTCATAATAAGCAGATTATACAGAATGAAAGAAATAAGTTATTAAATAAAACATATCGAACAATATGAACTACGTTAAAATTCCTTAGTAATATACGTCAGAATATATGCTAAACACATTATATATAATACAAATATATTAAATTTATAGTTCATGTCTGGCAATTTTGCAATTTTATAGATAAACGTGGCAATATCGATTTTTTTTTCTCGCATTCCTTCCGTAGCTTCAGATCCGCTGGTCAAACAGTAAAGTCCTAACCTTTACCACGCAACCACCGAGGACTTGAAAGATTCTATGTAACATTTTTACTTAAAAGATAATGTTTAGTGAAAATACTTTTTTATTTATAAACATTTATTTAATTCTATTTTTAGTATTTGATCTTATAGCGGCAACATAGATACATTAACTGTAAAAATTTCAACTGTCTAGCTATAAGATAGAGCTTTGTGACAGACGAACGGACGGACAGCGAAGTAATAGGGTCCCCGTTTTTACCCTTTGGGTACGGAACCCTAAAAATGGTTAAACATGCAATATACTGAGTGTTTTTCAAAATAGACTTACCACAATACCTTTGTTAGGTTTTCAGACAAAAAAAACGCGATTTGGTTTGTAAGACATAATACAGGGTGGTCCGAATTGTATTCCGGAAACTTCGGCCACATATTCTTCAGATAAAAATAAGTGAAAAAGTTCGTATAAATATATGTCCTAAAATGCTTAGTTTCCACAGGGTGGAGAAGTTTCGCTTTTATGTCAATTTATTCCAAATAATTTCTGAAGTAACGTCAATATTTGGATGAAATTTGGTGTCTGGGAGTTTTTTTGACATGAAAAATCTGATTTTGATGTCAATACGACTCCTACATGTAGAGGGCGCTAACTACATATTTTTAACTGGTTTGAAGAGTAATAACTTTTTGTCCGTACCTTTATAAAACTATTAAAAAATATACATTTACAATGTTTTTTGCGTAAAAAATGTATCTTGGTAAAAATCGTTACGAATAATAGTTCTCGAGATATTTAGAATCGAAATTATCCATACCTGTCATGATTAACATAAATTATACATGTTGACTAAATAGTTATTAGACTGAAATCATAAATTTGAAATGTTTTTGTGCTAAAAGTTTAACGGAAACTGTTTTATCAACCTTTTTTTTTCGATGAAAAATGTATGATTAATTTAAAAAAAGAAAATGTCCCCAAATTTATCATTCCAGTCAAATAACTATCTACTCAACATGTTTATTTTTTGTCTATTATGACATGCATTGACTATTTCCATTCTAAATATCTTGTGAACGGTCGCTCGTAGCGATTTTTAAGAGACATTTTTTATGTAAAAAATCACGAAAATGCATATTTTTTCGCTCAGGGGTTTTATATAGGTACGGACGAAAAGTTATTGCTTTTCAAAACAGTTAAAACACATGCAGGTGGCGCCCCCTACAAATAGGAGTCATATTGACATCAGAATCAAATTTCTCAAGTCAAAAAACTCCCAGACACCAATTTTCATCAAAATATTGACGTTACTTGAATTATTTGGACAAAATCGTTGGACATCTACACCATGTACCTCCGTAACTATTTTAGACATATATTTATACGAAGTTTTTTACTTATTTTTTTCTGCAGAATATGACGCCGAAGTTTCAATTACTTTCGGTCACTTCCTGTTTCACCGGAAATTACTACTACTATTGATTTTGAAATGGTACCCCCGGTATTTTCTAACTTTATTGGACTAACAGTCATATATCAGTAATTATATTTATTATTTTTAACTGAAACTGTTGCCTGATCTTTTTTAAACCTATAAATAAAATGCCAAACAAATATTTGTAAACTCTAAATTGTAGGTTATATTGTTTTATTTATAGCATAACGGTATTGTAAAATTTATTGAATTAATAATTCCACTACTGTTATAACAAACTACAATCATTTATATTCATTGTCTGTATTCCCTGGACATTCTTTTTTGAATATGTCCAAACTTATTCCTAATAGAGCTATAAACTTTTCCGGGCGCGTAAATATTACGAACGGAAAAAGCCTGTCGTACACAATTATGTTTTATGTCTACAATTTCGCCATTGAACAGTCCTACAGGGTAATTGCTGAATTTTAAAAAATTGCTACAAAAAATGACCTATGTACCGTGTATATTTCTAATGGCAAAAAAAATTAAACTACATAGTTGTGTATCTTTTTCTAATTCAAAGTTAAAAATTAATAAAGTATTCCATTTATTGTATTACTCTATTGTACAGGGTGTTCTTTAATGACA